CTACATGCCTAACAATTTTATTCTTAACTATTGTTTCGACTAATTTGCCTGGTACCGATGTTAGATTTACCAGTCTGTAATTGCTGGGATCACCTCTAGAGCCCTTTTTAAATATTGGTGTCATGCTAGCTATCTTCCAGTTAGTAGGTACGGAAGTTGATTTAAAGGATAGATTACAAACCACTGTTAACAGTTCTGCAATTTCCCATTTGAGCTCTTTTAGAACCCTTGAGTGAATGCCATCCGGTCCTGGTGATTTGTTACCGTTAAGTTTTTCTATTTGTTCCAAAACCTCCTCTAATGACACTTCAATCCAGGACAGTTCCTCAGATTAATCTCCCACAAAAGACGGTGCAGGTTTGGGAATCTCCCCAAGATCCTCAGCCGTGAAGACTGATGCAAAGAAATCATTTAGCTTTTCCGCAATGTCTTTATCAGCCTTGATTGCTCCTTTTGTATCTCGATTGTCCTGTGGACCCACTGGTTTTTTAGCAGGCTTCCTGCTTCTAACGTACCTAAAAGCATTTTGTCATTGTTTTTTGAGTTTTTGGCTAGCTGTTCCTCAAAATCTTTTTTTGCTTTTCCTATTACAGTTTTACACCTAATTTGACAGTGTTTGGCTACATCTCAACTGGCATGATTTTCCGGAAATGCTTTTAACGGAAAAGTTTTCCGTTAAAAGCATTTTTGGAAAAGAGTGTCTAGATTGGCAAGGACCCTTTTCCGCAAAAGCACTTTTTGCGGAAAAGCGTCCATGGCCAATCTAGACGCGGTTTTGCGCAAAAAAAGCCCCGATCGCCATTTTCGCTTTTGAAGGGGAAGGAGCACTCTCATCCAGCCTGGCACCTCAGTGACTCCCGTTTTTGTGTGTCCTTCTGCGTGTGGTCAAGGCTGCTCCGCAGAGTCATCCACCTTGCCGATGCTGACACGGTCATCGAGAGGTTTGGCGCCCTGGGCTTCCCCAACTGCAGGGGGGCTGTTGATGGGACACACATCCCCATCCATGCCCCGGAACACCAGGCCTCCCTCTACATCAGCCAGAAGGGATACATTTCCGTTATCCTGCAGGCTGTCTCTGACCACCTGGGCCACTTTATGGACACTGATGTGGGCTGGTCCGGCAGAGCACATGATGCGTGGGTCTACCTCAACTCCTCTGTGTGCCAGAGGCCACACACCCCTGGGCCACTTTATGGACACTGATGTGGGCTGGTCCGGCAGAGCACATGATGCGTGGGTCTACCTCAACTCCTCTGTGTGCCAGAGGCCACACACCGGAACTTTCTTCCCTGACCACCACATCAGGGTCGGAGATGTGGACATGCCTGTCTGCCTGGTGGGGGATGTGGCCTATTCCCTACAGTCCTGGCTTATGAAGCCCTACATGGGACACCTGAACCCTTCCCGACAGGCATTTAATGCCAGGCTCAGCAGGGCCCGTATCATAGTGGAGGGTGCCTTTGGCCAGCTGAAGGCCCATTTTAGATGCCTCCTCACCCTCCTGGACCTCTCAGAGTGGAATATTCTGCATGTGGTGGCAGCGTGCTGTGTGCTGCATAATTTGTGCAAGGGAAAGGGGGAGGCTTTCCTTCCAGCCTGGATGGCAGAGGCCGATCACTTGGCCAGCCTGTACATGCAGCCCCACATGGCTGCCATCTGGGAGGCCCATCAGGAGGCTGTCTGTATCTGGGAGGCCTTGCGGGAGAGCTTCTACCTGAATGAGCACTAAAAGACACCCTGGTGTGCCCCACTGTGGGCTTGAGCCTCATTCCTCTCTCATGTCCTTCCATGGACCCGTCCTTAACCCACCTTCCTGCTGTACAGTAAAAGACACATGTATTCAAGAAAACAAACTCTCTTTATTGAACAAAACTGGGGTGGGGGGCATGAAACTCAGGTGAGACTGGGCAAAGAAGGTGGGAGAGGAGAAGCGAGAAGGGGAGGGGGAAATGTGGGAGGAGGGAGTTGGAAGGGGGAGACAAGGGGAGGAAGGGGAACTGCCCCCTGTGGCCCTGGCATATGCCTGCCGCAGCGCCTTAATTTTCATCCAGACCCGATCCTGGGTTTGGATGTGGCCTTTGGTGGCCAGGCTGGCAGCCATCCGGCTGTAGACGGCCGTGTTCCTCCATCTAGTGCAGAGATCATGGAGGTTGGAGGCATCCCCTCAAACCTCAGTCAGGTCCATGATCTCCGCACTGGACCAGGAAGGCGCCCACCTTTTCAGGCCCCTGGCAGGCTCCTGAGAGCTGGCAGACTGGTCCTGAGGAGTGGTGAAGAGATGGCTGCCAGTTGCTTGCTGGCTCATGTTTGGGCCACTGGGTCAGGGGCAGCAAATACTGGCTCTGGGCTGGCAGGCCAGGAGCTAGCACAGGCACTGTGGCCAGACTCTACCCCTTTAAGGGCTCCAGGGAGAAGGGGAGGAGAGGAGTTTTCCTGGTTGGGGCCAGAGTGGCCAGCAGCGACTCTGGGAAGGGCTGGAAGCCCCCTATTTTGAAATAGCCCCTTTTCCGTGTCCACACAGCGCTTATTTCGAAATAGCAATTTTGAAATTGACGCTATTCCTAGTAGAATGAGGTTTACCAAGTTCAAAATAAGCCCTCCGCTATTTTGAATTAATTTCAAAATAGCAGTTGGCTCGTGTAGACGGTAATACAGTTATTTCGAAATAACGGCTGGGATACCCTCTGGGAATTAGCTTTTTGATGCTGGAGTGCCCCCTTCTGGCTGGTGTCTCCCCATGTCTCTGCACTCTGGGGCCCCATGTCTCTGCCCTCTGGGGCCCCCTTCTGGCCAGTGTCTCCCTGTGTCTCTGCACTTTGGGGTCCTCCCCCCGGGAACCTCAACCCCCTATGCCCTCCTTCCCTCAGTGACTCACTGCCAGTCTTCATCTAGCCCCTTACCTCAGGGGCAAGCTGCAGTCTGATAATTGGCAAGGGGGTGTGGACCTGCTGCCTTTGCCTGCCCTTTTCTGCTTACCTGCTTCTCTGCAGCCCTAGTACACTCAGGCCTTGCTACAGGCTCTGCCACCTGGAAGCTTGCCTGGCCAGAGCTCCCCACCTTGCTTGCCTTTCCCCAGCCCTGCACTAACTACAGCCCTAGTATCTTCAGGCCTTGTCTCAGGCCCTGTGGCTTGCGAGTGAGGTTCGGCCAGAGCTCCCCAGCTCTGCCTGCCTCTTCCCAGCCCTGCTCTGTCTCAGGAAGCCCCCAGCTTCCCTTGCAGCCAGGGCCCTCCTTCTCCCCAGCTGGAGCAAGAGTGTCTCTGTGTCCTCCCTCCAGGAGCCCTTATTTATACAGCCCCAGCTGGGCCCGAATTGGCTGCCATATGCTTCCGCTGCTTGCTCCACAGCTCCAGCCCTCTTCCAGGGCTGGGTTTTAGCCCTTAAATAACCAGTGCAGGCAGATGCCCCCTCACAACCTCCATAACTAAATTTGAGTTAAGGTTGCCAGATGGTCTCCCAAAAAATACCGGACAAGTGGTATTTTTTGGTCGAGCAAAAAAAAAAAAAAAAAAAAAAAGAGGAACAAGGGATAATAAGCCCTCCCTCCTCCCGTTCTGGGGCACCCAGAGAGGCAATCACAACCCTGCCTCCTAGCTGGGACTTCCAGGCTGGGAGGCGGGGCCACGATTGGCGCTGGAAGCCTGTGATTGCACAGAAGCCTTGTGGAGGACGGGGAGGGGCTGGGACTCCCAGCCATTCCCCCCGCCCCTGTCAGGCTTCTGTGCAATCACAGGCTCCCAGCGCCAATCGTGGCCCCGCCTTCTAGCCAACCCCCTGCCCATGCCAGGTTTCCGTCCAGTGCACATCCGGAAAATTCAGAGTATACCGGACGTTGCACATGCCCGGTATTCCCTGATGTTGTTTACTGGACAAAGAGTGCAAATACTGGACTATCCGGTAGAATACCAGACACCTGGCAACCCTAAGTTGAGTTCCTAGAGTTCCTACACACACAGTAATGGAAAACCTTTGCACTGTCCTCCAACTGTCCCCAGGAGAGACATCCTGTGCAAACCTTATGCCATATACGGGTCATAAATACAGAGCTGAGGACAGAAATGCCAGTCCCCTGGAAAAGGGAGTAGGGGCTCAACACAGGCATCTCCAGGAATGGGCAGGGTAGGGCCTTGGGTGGGAGGTGCAGACTGGTAGTTAGTCTCCCTCCATCGGCCCTTTTTGCGCTGCCCAGACTGCATGGTTTGGGATGCCGGCAGCCATTTAAAAGGGCCTGGAGCATTGCAATGGCAGGGAGCCTCAGAGGCCTTTTTAAATCACCAGCCCCCCCAGGGCAACTGCTCCCTTTGTCTGTCCCCCCCCAGCAAGCTGGAGTAAGCATATGAGAATGCCACACTGCTAATTATATGGAGATATACCTATGTCATAGAGCTAGAAGAGACCTTGGGAGGTCATCAAATTGAGTCCAGTGCTCAGCCCTCATGGCAGGACCAAGTGCCATCCCTGACAGACTTGCCCCAGACCCTGAAATGGCCCCCTCAGGGATTGACCTCACAACCCTGGGTTTAGCAGGTCAATGCTCAAACCTCTGAGCTATCCCTCCCCCAATTGCTAAAATTAGACCTGAGAATCAGAACAAGGATTCTGATGTGTGCATTGTAATATGTTCATATGATATACGTGTACGGGAGAGAGGGAATCAATGTGACATTTGAGGCCTTGAGTTGTGCTAAAGAAGGTTCCCTTAACTAGGCATTTTCTTGGTTTTCAAGGGATGGCACAAACTGAATCCAACCCCCACAGCCTTTTCTGGTGGTGGGAATATAGATGCACATGTGTACATTCCCACATAATTCTCCACAGCCAATGTACCAGTCTACTGGTATGGACATCTCATGAAAAAAACCCAACACGCTCCCCAGATTAAAGCATGCAAACTAGAGCTCATAAGGATTACAGTTATATTCAGTAGGCAGCATACTTCAAATGTGTTGCTGTGCTTCCTTGTTTACTTATTTAGATTCAGATAAAGGAAGTGGTGAGACTGAATCGCTGACAAGTTTTCTGAGAAGAGACCATTTTGTACTTAGAGGAAGCAGTTGCTCTCTTGGATATTGTTGCACCATAACTCAGAAATAAAAAGCAAGACGGTTTAACAAAAGCCTGGGGCATTTATTAGGCAAGTGGATTGTTGAATTTACTGGAGGTAGCCACAGGCTGGAAATCTATGGCTCTCTCATTAATACTCCTGGCATGAAAATTCTGTAGCTGATTAGGAAAGAAGAACAGAAATGGATTTACAAAACCTTCCCTATCGCTCAATGGTGATTGCTTGGAGCCCAGATGACCTGGCAGACTACTTCAAGAAAGTAAGTTGTGTTGTGTTTTGTCCTAGTATGGAGGAGTAGCAAGGTGCTTTAACACTTCTGTGCTCTTGCTCCCTCTTCCCCCCACAAAAAACTTTTTACCCTAAGAGCCGAATTTGCTACATACATCATATAAAATCATCTTTTTTGAATAATCATGGCAGATGCACTTCAGAAAGTCATTATACCTGCCCTGGTTTAATGAAGTCCTTAATGAATCCTGAAAAATGTATTCTAAATTAATAGCAAGAGAAATCAATTGTTTCTTGGGAAAAAAAAATGCTATAATCTTTGGTACCAATGCCTTGCTATGTTACATTCAGTTTGGATCCGTAAAAGTTAAGAGTTAAGGAAGCTAAACATAGTAAACCTATTTTTTAAGGTAGGAAAGTTTTATATGCAGATCTCATAAGGCCTCTCCAATGAAATTATTCCTATGACTTTCATAATTAAAGACCCTCACTAATGAAGATGCACACATGAACTCTGCTCTGGACTGAATTGCTTTCCTAATTAGCATTACAAAGGCTTGTTATGTGACAGGGCTTGGTTTAAAATCGATAGTGTTTAGCAGAGGTGACATTCTCAATCTACGGGTCGCTCCAGACCTTCCAATCTTTTGAACAAGGATGTCAGAGCAAAAGAGCTGCTGGAGAGAGACACAAACAAGCTGTCATGCTTATGCAGAGTGCTGGCATCTGGACTGGGGTTTTTAGAAGGGAGTTGGGTGCCCAGATTCAAGGAGAGTTGATCTGAGTCATGGACAGCCGTCCTTTTGAAGTGAGGTGATGAACTAAGACTCCCATGCTAGCTGGAAAATGAGACCTGGAAGCGATTTTGTCTGGTTGAGCTCACACAAACAATGCAGAACACTTCCTTGTGATGTTGTAGTTGGGTGAGGAGGACAGGAACTGTGCCTAAGGAAAATGATTCCTTTGTAGCATAGGGGGAGAAATGAGAAACATTCTTTCCTCCAAAATAAATAGAATACATAGAATATTATCCCTTCCCGAGCTCAATGCAGCTGCTTTTATTTGTAGATTGCCTGTGTTGATATTTTGTCTTTGAAATTGAAAGCCTTTACCAATAATAATATCCATAGCGATAATCATAATTCTTTGGAGAGGCAGGTTTCAATAAAAAGAGATTCTGCTACCCACTGCCTCTTCCTGCCTCAGGATCCCCACTGACCTTCCTCCACATCTCAGAAAGATCCCTCATCTCATTTCCTCATCTGTTCTGTTCTGCTGAGGTGGTTGGGCTTCTGACACTTCCCCCCTTCTCTATCTATAGCTTTTCCTCAAATGCACTAGCCTGGATATTGCTGGTTCTTTTAACTTTCACTTTGCAGAGCAGAGGATTTTGCACGCCGAGGTGTGGAGGGGCATTTAAAATGGCGTATTGGGGTGCATTTGTAGGAGCATTGCCAGCAGAGCTAGAGAAGTGATTATTCCCCTTTATTCCACACTGGTGAAGCCACATCTGGAGTATTGTGTTCAGTTCTGGGCCCCACTACAGAAAGGATGTGGATGCATTGGAGAGAGTCCAGTGGAGGCAACAAAAGGGATTCTGGGGCTGGAGCACATGACCTATGAGGAGAGGCTGAGGGATTTGGGTTTATTTAATCTACAGAAAAGAAGAATGGGGGGAATTTGATACAGGGCTGGCCTTATCATGAGGCAAACTGAGGCGGCCGCCTCAGGTTCCAGACTGTGTGTGTGTGGGGAGGGCGGTGCCACTAGGACTCAGAGTGTAGAAGGGGGTGTCACTAGGACCCAGAGTGTAGAAAATTGTCTCTGCTGCCGATGCATATGTAGATAGCAGAGCAGTCCCATGAGAGAAGTAGAACAGGAAGAAGGCAGAATTGAGACCTTTCAAAGTTTTGGCCCACGCGAGGGGACAAGGAGGTGTTATTTGAGCTCCCCGTCTCAAGTGCCAAAATGTTGTGGGCCAGCCCTGATTTGATAGCAGCCTTCAACTACCTGAAGGGAGTGGGTCCAAAGAGGCTGGAGAGAGGCTGTTCTCAGTGGTGACAGATGACAGAACAACGAGCAACAGTGTCAAGTTGCAGTGGGGGAGGTCTAGGTTGGATCTTAGGAAGAACTATTTCCCTAGGAAGATGGTGAAATACTGGAATAGGCTACCTACTGAGGTGGTGGAATCTCCATCCCTAGAGGTTTTTAAGTTCTGGTTTGACAAAGCCCTGGCTAGGATGATTGAGTTGGGATTGGTCTTACTTTGGGCAGGGGGCTGGACTCAATGACCTCCTGAGGTCTCTTGCAACCCTGGGATTCTATGATTCTAAAAGAATAGGCAAAACTCAGTGCTGATTTGCTCCCTGGTATCTCACTGATGCTAGGAAAACTGCATAGGCTATAGGTAAATGTTGAGTTTGGTCCATTTTTACAGCATCTTAAATATATTCAGTTGTACATTCATTTTCCATCATTTCCCCCAGATTTTAATAGTCATCTACACTTACTTGTGTTACCATGCTGACTATAGTGCATGTTCACAACAAATTCCAAAACCTTCATTACAGTGCAGAAAGGTCAATCCAAAAGGTTTGTGAAGACTTTCGCACCATTTCAGCAACCCAGTTTCAAGTGGATATGATCAACCGGGGACAGTTTATTATTTGGTATTGAAACCATGCAAAATTCATGGTTTCAATCGCTTTCACTGGGTTTCGTTTGGGGGAGCTGGGACAAGTTCAAAACCAAAATGCAAAGTGGAGTTCATGGGTAGCAAAGGCACACAGATCAAAACCAAAGCAAACGTTCGCTGGTGGGCCTGAGAAGTGAAACCACCAACTTTGCAGTGTTCTAGTTCCAACTGTTTTGTTCCTGCCTAGCTGTGTAGTAGAAGGAAACCAAGATCTTGAGATATCTTAAATTAGACAGATCTTATCATTACTGAGAACTAAATTTAAATCCAAATTCAGCAGACTAATCAGGAAAGCACATATCTTAACTGGTGCACAGGGTTTTAGATCACCATTAAGAGGAAACAACCAAGTGAGGTGAAATGGCTTCCTGATATTATCTATCATACTTATATATGCCCCCCGCTACTGTAATATCGGAGAACCTCATACTCTTTAGCATATTCATCCTCAATAACCCTGGAAGGTAGAGAGACGTGACACTCCCTTCTACAGAAAGGGGGACTGAGACAGAGTATCTTGCCCAAAGTCACACAGTAAGTCTGTTGGGGTGCACTGCACAAATTGTAGCTTATTTCGATGCCATTTTGAAATAGCGCCAAATTATGAAATAAGCTATCTACATGGCCCCTCCATTTCAAAACAACTCGCTATTCCGAAATTCCCCTTAACTCTCATGGAACGAGGGTTACCGGGATGTCGGAATACATCGCCCATTATTTTGAAATCTATTTTGAAATAAGGGCTGCTTCAATAGATGCGGAACAGCTATTTTGGGATACTTCCGGCATCCTAAAATAGCTCCACAGAGTAGATGTACACTTGCGGAGCATGAATATGAATCCAGGTGTCTCCAGTCTTATGCCCTCACAAGTGCAGGCCCCTTTCTTTCATTAGTCCCACAATTTGTATCATAGGGTATGTCTATACTACAGCACTAATTCTAACTAACTTAATTCGAATTAGTTAATCCGAACTAAGCTAATTCGAACTAGTGCATCTAGACCTAAAAACTAATTTGAATTAGCATTTTGCTAATTCGAACTAGCATGTCCATATTGAGTGGACCCTGATCTGAGGTGAAGGATGGCCGGAAGCAGTGCCGGCAGAGCATCAGATTAGGACTTAGAGCGTGGAGCTGCTGTCTCAGGCTAGCCGAGGGCTGTGCTTAAAGAGACCCGACTCCACCCTGGACAGACAATTCTCAGGGGTTCCCCGCTTGCAAAGTAGTCCTGTCTTGGAGTGCCCTGAGTGCCCACACTCGGCACATCACAGCACTCGGCCATCAGCCCGGCTGCACTTGCCGCAGGCTGCCATCCTGGGGGGAGTCAATCGGGGTGTGCAGGAGAGCTTCCACCCCGAGGAGCCTGCAGAGCCACCCCAGTCCTCCCCATCGGGGGCTCGTACCCCATTCCTCCCTCACCTCCTCCCACTTACCCCTCCCCAGACCCCCTTCCTGATGTAAAAAATAAAGGACATGTATGTTCAAAAATAGAAACTCTCTTTATTGACCAAAACTCGGGGAGACTGGGAAAAGGAGGTGGGAGAGGGGAAGAGAGAGGGTGGGAGAGGGGAGGGCAACTAAAATGATCAGGGGTTTGGAACAGGTCCCATATGAAGAGAGGCTAAAGAGACTGGGACTT